TTATTAATAGCTGCTAGTGCTGTTCTTTAATTGAATTGTGACAGGGGTTGGGATTATGTTTTTTTTTTGTTTATATGTTTAACTACTATACTGTTGCAGTTGAGTTTAGATAAGAGCAAGCATTTTCAAGTAGAGACAGTAAAATTGACCATGAGTTTTAAAAATTTTCAGATATAATTTTTTAATTGGGTACTTAGCCAATTACCTATTTATGAAGCAAAGTTACGATCAATTCAAAATAGTGTCAGATGTCATTATATAGGGGACGCGTGGCATGAATGAGTTGTCATTTAGGTAGGATTGATTTCAAGATTACCGACCGACCGACCGACCGACGACCGTAAAAGAGGAAGACCCTTGCAGTTCCTTGAAGTGCCCGTTAGCATTGAACAGAAGTCTTTTTAATCGGCAACTTTTGAGTTAAACGAGAATCAATAATGATAATAATGCAAAGATCTAGATGTTTAAGAAAATGAACCGAAAAAAAGGACACTTGGACATTCTAGGTATCTGGTTGGGTAATTTAATTTTAAAATTTTTTTATAATTTAAATTATATTAAATTATAAAATAACAACTCTTAAATTAAAAAAAATCTTTAATATTAAACCTTGCTCTCCATTCAAAAGTTTATAAATTATATTAATTTAAAGTATAAAATAAAAAAACTCATTTAATTTTAAGTCATTATTTAAGGAAAATACCAATAACACTTATTTATGTTTTTCCGGGAGCCAAGGTTGAAGCAAAGAAGGAACGAGTTAACAGATTCCAAAATGCAATTCGAAGAAGAAACTTTGTTACCATACGACTGACGTAGAAAGCCAATTAAATATGAGATTGTGAGTTTCCCTAATTAATGTTAATGTCGCCAAAGGAGTCAAAGGCATGAAGCTCGAAACCTCGGTTCGTCGGTTCCTCAACATAATGGTTCGGTATTAGTTTAATGTCGGATAAATTAAAGTGACTGAAAGGGGAGTAGTGTTGGGATAGGAGTTTAAGCCCAACACCTAGGCCCATTGAGCCCAAATTAAAATATGGGCTAGGCCCTGAAACTGGCCGAATATGTAGTGAAGGTGGGCTAATTTATGTATGATTGCATTTCCTAGTCTAGTAAGAATAGGAATCTAATAATGCAAATAGAATAGTAAATAGGATTTAGATGGAACTCATATTATGTTTCACTCATTATATAGTTTTGATTAAACATCTTGATATTTTTTGCATTTTTTAATATAAATATGATTTTTCTAACTTTTGTTTTTAAGACATAATTTAAGGATACAATTAGTACATCTTTTTGTTATTAATTAATATTGAAAATAACAAAAGTTAACATTAATTTCATCACCAATGTTGCATGAAATATTTTAATTGGACAATTGATTAAATAGAAGTTAACTATTATTTTTTTTAACAACAATTACTATCAAAAAAGGTACTCTTGACATATGTTCTTATGATATAAATTAGAAAAACCTATATAAATGTTAACTCTAAAAAGTTTTCAAGGGTTAATATCATAGGATTTGTCTAACTTGTACCCTAAGTATATTTATTACACATTTTCATTATTAATTTATATGTAAAACTACAAAAGTAAAATTTATTTTCAACACTAATTAATGTCACGTTGAATATTTTAATTAAATAATTGATAAATTTAAAATCAATTTTTATTCTTTATATAAGTTAATGATAAAAATAATAATAAATATACTCTTAATCTGTACTCTTGTGATATAAGTTAAAAAATTTCAAACATATATTGTACTCAGTTTTGGTATAGTGAAATATATTCTTTCTGCTCGTGATTTTTTCCTTGTTAGGGTTTTTCACATGAATCTTATCTCTTTTTACTTTATGTTATTTTTGCATGACCAATAATAAATTTAACATATAAAACCAGACTTATCAATGATCTCATCTAACCTTGGAGTTGTGATGTTATTTGTTGGGCATGTGCTCCCTCATCTCGCCAACCCTTGATAGGTTTTTTGGGCCAGCCATCAACTCCAACCCTACGATCCTTTCATAATCGATCACCATGCGCATACGGCTGTGATTGCTCCATGTGTAAACCGGCTTTAATTCAGCGACAAGGGCCAACATCGAACAAATTAATTTGTCTTCTAGCTACCAGAATCATTGAAACGAACATGTCTCCTTATTTACCTCCTTTCAGTTTTCAAAAAACTATGGAAATGGAAGGCCGGAAAAGGGAAGGTATTGGTTCTTTTCAGGGACACTTGTCCATGGCTCTAGAAGCTCGGATTTTGACGTATATATAATGGTGATGATTGATGTGGACGTGCTGAGGTTTGATTGGTTGGCTTAGTCATCGACACGAAAGAATCCTGCTTTTCTGGTTGGATTGAAAGAAAATTTTGTTGTTTAATGTTTTGCAAACGCTCGGGGAAGGGAAGTGAAAGGCACCATCGAATAACGGTGAAAAATGGTGGGATGTGGGAGATAAGAAGGCCTTTTTATTGTATGATATTAAAAAGACAATTAGGTTGCACCAGTTTAGTTCAAAAGCTTTTGGAGTGAGCGATTCTATGACGTACGGTGTTGTTGCTTCTGCTGTAGATTCTTTGAAAACAATTGAAGGGATTAAGAAAGTGGAAAATTAGAGTGCATGTCATCTTCATCGATGACATATAAATTACGTATATTATATCTTATCTAGCCTATGTAATAAATTTTAATTGTTTTGCTCTGCAGCGCCAGAAGACCCAATTTTGAATAGTGCCCCCTGTGCCTTTGTGGTGTCCTCCCCAACAACAGTTCTGTGACATTAATTAAACAAATTTATGTATATCAATTTTTATGTTTCATCAAGGAAAAGAGATAACAAAAAACTAGCTAGCATCACTAGTCACATTTTAAGGATTTAATCCTTTTTCACCTTCTTCCTCAAAATTTCCCTCTCAACTTTCAGGGTTGTTTACGTATTTTTATACTTTAATATTATAAAAAAAGGTGTAAGTGATATTTTGAGTTTTTTTTTTAAATACAATTCTAAACAAGTAAACCTTTATATATTCTCACACTTTTAAAAAGAAAAAGTCTCTTCTGAGATTTAATTGACAATTCTTTTATTAATTTTTTCATTGTTAATTTTTTACTAAATGCAAAAAAGTTAACAATCAAACAAAATTTAAACAAAACATTATTACAAAACTTATTAACTTTCTGTATAATATTTTATAACCAATTTTTATAAAATAATTTATAATCAACTTTTTTTACAATATTTTATTAATCATTTTCCTAATAAAAATTTTCCAATAAA